AAAAATAAAAAAATAATTGATAACAATAATAGTAATTTTAGTATATATTTTTCTACTAAGTTATAGTTAATTTAACTCTACACAGGCCCAGTTCAAAGGATAGGAAACATAGACCTACATAAATGAATTAATATCATAACTGCATATATTAAATTATCAATCTATCACTTACATCAAATATATTTTGTGATTGATGAACAAGAAACCGCTATCATTTGTTTATGTAGACTTACAAGACATAGTAAATAATTTAGATATTTAAAATATTAAATTTTTTAAGTTCAGCATTCAAATTAAGAACCTTGAAGTGTAATGACTTGAAATACTGGTCCCATAAAGTCAAGCTCATGAAAAYACGATCTACAAAGCATTTACTGTCTTTTGACATTGTCCATACAATAATTTTAATGACCAATACGTCTTTTAACGAGACATGATAAACACCAATTTTAACAAATTATAGAACTTATACACTCTTATCAAATGAAAACGCACTGGGCAGTGGACAAATTCTTGTCCTAGTTTGCRYTCAACACCACAGACCATTGCTGTTTACATTGWGCCGTCCTACATAATGTACGAATGCAGTGCGTTCTCATTTGATAAAAGAGTATACATATGAATATTAATTGAAGTTCTACAGATCAATTACTACTTTTCAAATTTAATATTCTAAAAATAAATAAAAATATTAATCCATTGGATAAAAGAAGACTATTTTGAAAATCAACAAATCCAACACAAATGCTTTTCGGTCATCAAAAATCAAAAGAAACTAATATCTACCTAATTGTATTACAATTCTTATACAAAATGAACATCAAATATCATCCACATTATAATGAAAACAATTCATAAAGCATTGATCATTTAAATTAAGCAATAAGAAAATATATTTTGTATAAAATGGTATTTTAAAGAGCTTTTAAGTAATGGTTATAGTAAATTTAGAAAATRTAAAAATAATAATACCTCCAGTCTTTGTTTTAATGCTGTGTTTCGGTCATTTCCAGTTGATTCTTGCATATGAACTTCCATGTGTCTTAGTAAATTTCCTTTATGCCTAAATGATCGTTGGCATGTATTACACTGATGAGTTTTTGCATGTGGTGGAGGTGGTATATATGCTGGATTATGATACAAATTATGATGACGGCGTAGTAATTGTTTTTGTCTGAATGACTAGAAAAAATAATAATAAATATAGAATATAGAATACAATAATTATTTATAAAATTTAAAATAATCTACCTGATCACATAGTTTACAATGAAATGGTTTTTCATCAGTGTGTATTAACATGTGAGTTTCAAGATGACGCTGAGACATGGAAGCATAAGGACACAATTCACATTTATAACATTTTTCCCCTTCGTGTGATTTACAGTGAACCTATAGTATATATTCATTAGATAATATATTAATGGAAAATGTATAATTCAATACCTTATACTGGTAACGATCTGGGAACGCATCACCACATCGTTTGCACTTAATAGGTTTGTCGGAGGTATGAAGCTTTTGTACATGAATACGTAAATCTGTTTTTCGACCACATGTGGCTGGACAATGATCACATTTAAATACAGGTTTTTCGCCTAGAAACATCATAATTCAATTGTTTTTTGTACTTCAAAATATTAAAAATTAAAAAAAAAAATTACCRCTATGTATTAGTCTGTGTGTTTTTAAACTGTTGGATTGGGTAAATCTAGAAAAGCAAATATCACACTCRTAAGGTTTTTCACCAGTGTGTATGCGCAAATGGCGTTTCAATTTAAATGTATCTGGACTAGCATAAGTACAATGGGGGCACTGAAAAAATATAAATGTTATCATCCAGTTATTAAAGATTATAATGCTTGATAGTAAATACTTGGTATGGTCTTTCACCAGTATGACATCTCATGTGATTTCTCATTTTACTAAGTTCTACACTGGCATAATCACATATTGTACATTTATGTGGTTTTTCATGAGTATGCTTATACCGAACATGTCTAACAAGTTCTCCTGTAATATAGGTTAATATAAATATTTATTAAAAAAAAAATACTACTTAAACACAACATAATAAAAACTTAGGAAGAAATAATAATTATTCATACCTGATGTAGTAAAAGCACTAGGACAACTTCTACATTGATATGGTTTTGTACCRGTATGTGTATTAACATGATTTTGCAAAGATGTTAAAGTTTTGAAACCACGCTCACAAACAGTACACTTATGTGGACGTTCTTTAGAATGAGACTTCATATGACGAGACAACAAATACCTAAAAAAAAATGTTAATTTCATGAAAAATCAAAATATCATAGAAATATTAAATGAATACAGAAAAATAAATGAACTTGGAAGACATTTTAAACCCAATTAAAAAAAAAGACAAATTACCTTTTTCCAGTAGTATAATTACAATAATTACACATATGTGCTTGAGTTACTGTTTGCGACTTTTTAGGTACTAATTTTGGTATTTTAGATTTGTCATCTTCTTCACCTGAATCCTAAATATATATTATAATAGTAATATACTTATAATAATAAATAGATAAATTGTTTGTAAGAAACTTACTTCTATTTCTTGTTTTTTTGGTAGAGTTGGATCTTCCCCATCATTGAAATCATATACATTATTAACATCGGGATCATCTGGATCTGGATCTTCTTGAGAAATCTCCATACTAACRTTTGATGTTTCATCATTTTTATCATTTTGTTGTTTGACTACATAAAGAACGTAATTGTTGGTATCAGCGTCCGCTTGAACAAGAGTAACTGTTTGATACCCACTACCATCTCCTAAAGCAACAATCTAAAATTTCTAATATTTTACTATCTGTATGATTCATTATTTACAATTTTAATTTACTTGGGGGATATCTTTTTTAATTTTATCTTGTACGTTAGGGAGAACAATTTGAGTTACATTGTTCATATTGTTTTCATTTGAGTTAGCCATCATTTGTGCATCATGTTCTGAAAGTCCTAAAATTTAAATAAATTAAAAAAAAAAAAAGATGTGACATTTTAAATTTCAATAACTTATTATTCTAACTAACCTCCAACCATAACCATCTGACCATCCCCTGTAGTTGTTTGATAATAATATTGGACATTTTGATCTATGAAATATGCATGTTCTACTGGATCCCCATCTAAATTCATTATTTTAATTTTAATATAMRATACATAATTATATAAAATAATATGAAAATAATTACCAGTTTGCACTTGTGTCACTTCATTTCCTTCAATTTCTTTATTAAAYGAATCCAAGTAATTTTGTATATCTGTTATATTTTCAGAACCAGAAGTTGAAGCCTCTAGTTTTATGTGAGTCCCATCAATAGTCATAGTATTTGCTGATGCTCCGCCATCTAACACTAATAAACAATGAATAAGTTAAAGGTAGTTACTACTAAATTAATACCAGTTACCTATTTGAGAGCGATGAATTTTAATTTAAAAACAAAAATATTAATTTAATTGAAACCTAACCTAAAMCTAAATCTCGCAGAGAAAATTGGTTTTTCAGGACTACTTGAACATAAATAACTTGGTTAATGATTGACATAGTTAATTGATAAGTACAAAAATATGTTATAACACTCTGACATTTCTCATTTGACAGATCCTTCACTTCCTATTACAACATACATAAGTAATGTGTGTTGGATAAGGTAAAAGTATAAATACCGGGATAACATAGGTTGAAACTTAGAACTTAAATATTGTTTTTGGCAAGTTTTAAAATATATTAATTAATTAGGTCAAACTCCAAATTTCAACTATCAATAAATACTATTGATGAATAAGATACATTTTAACTTTGTTTTATACAATTCTCAATGCTATAGTARTCACATGTGCACTAACAAATAAAATTGTACATTGCAATAATTTTATACTACCTATCTTTAAATTTAGTTTAAATTCATTTTCATAACCAAATTTATAATTTAAAAAGGTAATAAAATATATCTCATACTACAATAGTAGAGAAATCAGTGAGTAAATCATCATAATATTAAAATATGATATATTTATAAACTAAAATTAGAATAATTTTAAACTAGGTATTATCATTTAACTAGGATATTGTGTTTTTTAATATATATTTTAATATCTAATTCAAACATTAACCATACTATATAGTTTATCTTAATATTAACYATGTTTTGTCTATAAAAGCCAGAAATACAATAATCACTTATGGCTAAACCAAATTAATTCAAAAATATCAATCAGTAAAAGTTTGATATTCAAGTTTTTACCAATTAAAAATTACCTAGGTCTTCGTGGTAATTGTAAGTTTAACCTAAAATATTATGAATTATAACTAATTTATATGAACTATATAGGTAATATTATTTATAGCATATGCCTGCGATTTAAAGCTAACATAACTTTTTCTCTGTTTATAGTATTCATCGGTGTATTCATCAAAATGTTATTTAAATAGTAAATAGAGATTTAAGACTATTTTCACCATTATTGGATTTGTTATAATTAATAAGCATAATATAGAGTAACWATAGACTAAATTACCTATTGTTGATCCTTCGTTTTCAGACATTGTTGAGGTCTTGTTAATTAATTACCTATAATCAAACATTCAATTTATTGGTTGGGTAATAAATTTACTATATATTACTAATAATTAAATTACTACTATGTACATAATATATTTAACACAGTTAACACTAGCTATTTTAGTACATTTTTGAAACCAGAGTACAAGTCAAATATGACCACCAAGGACTGACTACAACATTCATGTATTCAATGTTTACTTGATAAGAATAACATATCAGTTTGGATTGAGAACAACTGTATCAAAAGTTAAARATTAAATATTATGTTTTGTTGGGCAAAAAATGCATATAACCATACATATAAGCTATGCACTACATAAAGTACTGAAACTCCTGAAGGAGTATTAGTAATGATATTATTGAATCGAAAAAAACCACCAAAAATTAATTTTTTTTTTAATRAAAAAAAAAATTATTGTTTAATATGGTAGGTAGTTTGTAAAAGGAAAAAAAGACAGTGCACACAAACAAGGCAATAAGTATCCACGTTAGAACAAAGAAAAAAGTGTAGGTATATGATATACCACAATATACTATCGTAATAACTAATAATATTATGTCGTGCTAAAACACAATATTATTATTGATTAAATCCAAAATGACGGTTTGGACCGGGCAGGAGGGCTGCACCACTGCACCACCGTGAGCCCGTGATAAGGATTAACAACAGCAACAACAAATTTCAACGACGCGTGACGTATGAAAAATTGAAAACATGAAATAATGTCTAATGGGATCACATCTTGTAACTTTTTTCTTGGGAAGGAAAGGGATATTTTACGACAAATGCGATTACAATAATAAACATATAATTTTATTATTTGTGATACTGCGTCCCATCGAAATGACAAACAAAAGCAATCTGCAGGGGATGAAATATTAAAGTGCCGAATGGCGAATGCCAGTTCGTTCGGCAAGTAAGTAGCAATAACTAGAAAGTACGCCGGAGTCTTGGACCACCGAATTCAAATGACAAAAATGTATTTCGAACTACGGCTGGTATCAATCACTATTTTTATAGTCACTACTATACTAACTAGACCACAACTACAACTGTCTTACTGTCTAGTGTAGTAGTGTCTACTAGAGTAGAAGAGAATAGTACGGACTAGTGAATAGATACTAGACACTAGACAGCAGGACATATAGAATACTAGAAATTAGATAATGATTAATGACAATATTCGAAATATCGAATTTTGCAATATTAAATACAATATTATTCAACAGATAGGTACCTACAATAATTATAGATAAGACACGAAAGAAATCACGGAAACGTCCACGGAACGCTGCCTATCGGGAATTAAGAAAAGAGACATTGTCGCGTCGTGCACATATAAACATAATAATATTATTATTCTACTACTTACACGTTTTGTACACGGGGGGCATCATTAACAGCCGCGGCGAGACATATATATTAATCCTATGAAAGCGCCGCCACACGGCAACCGTACACATATTATTTTACGACGCGCCGTTGGCCGCGGCCGCCACCGCCGCGCTGCTCATGTCGCTCATGAACGACTCTCACAATTATTAACGACGACAACGGGTAGCGTGGCAGCGACAACGAGAGTCGAGAGTYGAGAGTGACGGCGTCTACAACGACAAACGCGCACGCGAATCGTGTCCGATCGACGACGCGACAGAAACTAATATTACCATAATATTGATATCGTATTGTGGTATGTGTATGCGAGACGAAGAAGAATCATATTCACTATAGTTTACTGATGTTGTTATTATTGCTACCGTCGTTAATGATAAAAATTGGCGAACGGAGAGTTGATGATCGTATCGTACATTCGTCGTACCTCAACACCGTTACAGACAAAATCCTCCAACCCTGTAACGTCGAGTAGGCACTTGAAGAGTAGGTATTCGTATTCTGTACTTACGCGGTGGCTGTGGATCAGTGTCAGGCGTCCGTTGAGATGACGCCGACGCTTTAATGTTATGATTATGTTACGGTTTGTCCGTTGTTGTCGTTGACGCGACTATGCGTTTACAATACGGTGTACCGTAATCGGACGGGTGTCGGGAAACGGCGACCGTCGGTGCGCGCAGCGGTTTCGGGGACGGCACGCATACGCCCGATGATGGGGACGGAGGCGGCACGGGTACGGGTGTCAAAAATCGGCCGCCATTTTTTTCCATTCCTGTCGATCTTACTTACCGTATACTGTATATTGTATTATGTCTTGTTACACCCGGTACATCGACGAGTACCCGCCTTTAATGACGACGTACTTGAACGCGGTAGTCGGTCACCGCCAAAGACGTTCGAAATGCAAATTATTTCCCGCCATTTATTCAAAACAATGATTCCAAATAAAACTAAATAAATTACTGATATCAGTGTAAAAAAATTAAAAACGACGTTGCGTAGTTTCACATTCATTTTCAGAAAATCTTAATTCAGCATTTTCTGACTAATAAAAGTTATATTCACTACTTTTTAATACACAAATTCTTTTTCCAAGTAAACGTCTTCCATAAATTAAATTCCAAATTTTACATCAATTCCTATTAACATTTGCTTCAATGCATATTTGTTGATCAAAATGTATTTATATAGTTTAGTTTTTCAACACGATTTATTATTAAAAACAACATTTGGAATAAAATTGTTCAATCAAATAAACCTATTAACTTAACCAATTCAGGGTAATAACAATAATAACTACTAATATTACCTCAAAAAATCAATATAAATAATATTAACTAGTTTAATATGAATAATGATTCCCTGAAATAACTGTGAAGCGGTAAAAGCTTAAAATTGTGTAAAAAAAGTGGCAAGTGTTGAAATGTGTACTGGACACAGGTCTTCTACAGRGTGGGCAGTGAATCGGGCGATTTAATATATTATATACGATTAAAATAAATACGGAAAGCCCTGTAATTGATATGTGCATACTATAAAATTATGTTCATCATAAAGCATAAAATATAAGCGTTTAGTTCTTTCTTCTTTAATTATCATGAATCGTTGGACTGCACAACTACGTGCGTTCGCTGTAAAAGCGTTTTATCTAAATAGCAAAACAGCTCTAGTTTCGTGGTAGCGCGGCGACGCGGCGTGTTTTCCGCGCTCATTTCGGCATTAATCGTAATCGGCCTGTGATTTTTTTCTGTGGGGATACATCAAAAGTAGAGTATACCAAACACCACTAACGACACTTGAGACTTGATGATTAAACAAAGAATACGAGAAGAGGTGACACAAATCTCACCGGAAATTCTGCGAAACGACATGACCAGTTTTCAAAGACGCCTTCACAAATGTTTGCTTCGAAATGGACGCCATCTTGCAGATATCATTTATAAAAATTAAATAACAAATTAACACTTCTTTAATGCTATTTTATATATTTTCAGGTTTTTATAGTTATTTTTAAATCGCTCGATTCCCTATGGTTGGTGTTTATTAAAGGGGTTGCTGTAACCAATGTTGAATTTGAACCTGTCTTATTCGACCTGTGGTCGCCATACTTAAAGGACCCTAACCTAACGGCTTCGAGCGCCATTAAAATAATGTTACACTTATGCGTATAAACGTAAAATCTTAAAATTTGAAATACTATAACTTCCAAAATAATGGTTTCCGCTAAAAAATTCAAACAGTTCCAAAAACAGCGTTGAAAATGAAGTCTTTTCGAAAAAAAAAATTAATATTTTTGAGGGGCTTGGTAAACCATTTTAGCCAATTATAGAATTTTTTCCATGGGGAAATGACTAGTTGGGGTCGTATGACAGTATACCTTGATCTAATAAAAAAAACTCCTTTAAAAAGTCACTAAAAATTTTCTGAATTATTCAATTCTACTACCAACAAGTACAAATTCCACAATCTTATTAACCAACAAATCCATTTAAATATAATACTATTAACAACTAATATTGATCTTAAATAATCCTACTAAACACATTTAATTTGTAGCATAGTCTTTAATGTTAAAATCATTGTAATAACATAATTTTTTTTATGAACTAATAGGTGTGTTAAAAAAAAAATTATAGAGATTCAACCCTTGCGGGCATCTAAAAAAAAAGGTTAAATATACTTTTGAAAGGATTCAGGAATAATCTTAAATTTTTGGTGATTATAGTCTCAATTGAATTTTAAATAGTGTCAAAAAGCATCCAGTAAGTGAATAATAAACAATTTGTATATTATATACATAGAAAAAATGTATGTATTTTATAATAATATTAATATACATACTTAGTTTTATTACTTTGAATACATTATTTGTTATTTATTTTCATAATATGTGTGTATACTAATATATTTATAACTTTATTAATAAATAACAGTTTTAAAGATTTTCTTTAACAAAATATCAGTCTTTTTTTTAAGAATATAAACTAATAAAAATATAAAACAAATTTACCTAAATTCACAATGATATATTTTTCTAAACAAAATTTTGTATAAATTAAATGAGTGTGACAATTAGTTAACCTAAGTTCAGTATTTATGATAAAACAAGGCCCACAAAAATCCGACTGCAAACAAACACGTTAACAATAAAATATATAATGAATACTTAACGTAACGCATATGTTGGAAAAGGATACGATTGGAAACTTCTAAAGTAGTAACCTGAAAAAAATGTAATTTAGATTTAACAAATTTATTTCTATTTTTCATTACAATAGTATTCATTGGCACAAACTAATTTAATCTGTACTGCTTAGCACCCTAAATTTTTATCCTAGCTCCTCGGATTTCGAKATTATGTTAAATAATAATTAAAAATCACGAACACAAGCTATTATCAGAAGAGCTAAACTACAAAAAAATAAAAAATGTAGTATGACAAATATCAAATTTTTATTAGTGTCTACCCACCAATAAGTGTACACAGGGGCAAAACCCTACCATCATATTATATTTAAACATATTTATATTTTTTTCATACTATAATGAATTATCAATAATATATGAATAGATGTTCACTTAATCACTTTATTATTTTAATCCAATCTCATATATGTATACACATGAGCTATGGGTACCAAATTATATGTCACTTACTCAACACCCAGTACCCCTTTCAAAATAATTTTGTAATTTAAGATTTAAAGATGATTTATAGTATTTAAAATTATTTAGTAATAAAAAAAAATATGTGTTGAAATAAAAATACTTTACCACATTCATTAATTTATTAACTTTTTCCTCGAGATCATTATTATGGTTCTGATCATACGAATTCCAATTATTTACTGTTTCATTGTCATTAGAAATTTTACATTTCAAAATGTGTTGTTCTTTGGTTTCCCATTGTATCTAGACAAATTAAAAACAAATATTTTTTTTTTTTAATTATCTTTTAAAARGATAACTATTCATCACACAATACAGAAAATCTATAAATTCAATGGTTTAGTATAAGCTTTAACTGTTATAAATGGTTAAGAGRAATTTTTTTAAGAAACAAAATATTGAAAAAACCAAACTCTTTTATTAATCTCAATTTTACATTTAGAATTAGAAAATTGAAAACATTTAAGATTTAAGTTTAATGTTTATTATTTGTATTAATATTTTTTTAAATAAATATAAATTATAAATACCTTCCACATTTCTGCTATATCTTTGGTATCTATAACAGGAATAACAAGTACTAAAAATTTATCTCTCATTACATCAGTATGTTTTATTGACATTCCATTTAGTACAAATGTGACTTTTAAACTTTCTTGAGGGATAAGTGTACCTGTACTAGGACGAACTTTATACTTCACAAGACAAGTAGTTTTTATCTAAAAAAATAAAATTATGTATTTAAATATAAAACATCAAACTAAAAATTAATATTTCATTTTATTACTTTGAAAGCAATTGTATCCTTGTAATCATTTATAAATGTGAGGCTTGCTATTAATTCATTATAACCATTGGTATTATCTTTATTGAATGTAATTATTTCACTAGGGTTTATTTTTAGTTTATACTCTAAAACAAAATAATCATAATAAATATTTTTTGTWA